ACTGAAATTTTTAATACAGGTGGCAACTCTCTGCCTGTTACAATTTTATTATAAGTATAGATATCGATTTCATTTGATCAATTTAATACAATAAAATTTTTCAAACAGGTGGCAATCCTCCCTAAAAATATTTTCGGCAGTAAAATTTCCTAAACCTCTTTAGTTTGATACCCATATTGCAATATTCAACTTATCTTATAAATTCACTTTAATTAAAATTTTCAATCAGGTGGCAACTCTAAAAAAATATTTTTGGCTGTAAGCCTTCTTAAGCCTCTTTCTTTTGGCACCCATATTGCAATATTCACTTTTTCTTACCAATTTACTTAAACTGCAATTTTCAAACAGGTGGCAACTCTCTAATTTTTTTCTTTCTATATTTTAAGTTAGACCTCTAGCAATATATCCAAGGCGCATCAATTACAGGTGATAGCGATAGAAGCTATGCTTCTTCTTATGAGCACGCTTGTGTCAAATTATCGTCTGTTTTGCTTTTTTTACATATCCGCGTATACATACACATATACGTATATATATACCCTGCAAACAAATGCTCCCGAAATCTTTAAGAGTGTCGGAAATTTGTTACGATTCTTTTAGAAATCTGTAAAGAAAAACATATGCAGCGGTTGATAAGAACTAGTAAAAAAATTCTGTATGATTTCTTAAAGAAAATTCATAAAAAAATTTTGAAACCTTTCAGAATTCTATGAAATCCTGGTATGCAGGGTATATGAATAGATAAAGAAGATGTTGATGACACAAGGAGTTCATACCAACGGTAAATGTTGTTTTTGTACGATTGCTACAACCTGTAGTTGTTGAATCATGCAATATATCGGTAAAAACTGCATTCAATTCTCTGCATTCGTTTTCGAGTGATGCGCGTGCAAACATACAGACAGACAGACACAGACAAAAATTCTAAAGATGGTTGATTTGGCTTCTGGTGCTCTTATAAAGACCCCCACATTAATTTTTCTTTAATATCTATAGTGTACAGACATCGACCAGTTACAATTTTATTATATGTATTTTGTCAACCTCAATATTTTTGAGTTTTGGGAAAATGTAAGAATCACCAAAAATTTTTTTAATTAACCACTGTTCTCAAACATATACAACATGTCTCAAGGAGCGTTGTCAATTGCATATTCTTCAGCCAATGTTAAAAGGATCCTCTCCATACAGAAATTAATAAAAATAAAATGTCGAAATAGACTTCAAATCATATATGTAATACTTCTATATTGATAGTAAGCTAACATCTCAATGGCTGCGTTTCTTTATACATTCCGGATAATCCCATTTCACAGCCGGAATAAACAGAATGTGTTAGAAATATACGTTAACATATCATCAGGAACGTTCTAAAGAATAAGTAAACAAAAAAGTTTATTCCAAACGTTAAGAATGAATAAAGAAATGCAGCCAATGTGTAAGCATTCCGAAATCAAAGCGAGACAGTCTCCCAGCAAACATTTGGAGTCATAAATGAGTCTTTAAGGAGTCCCATTTCGGAGCCTTTGTGCTCAAAATGAGCTCATTTAAGAGTCCAAAATGAGGGTGTTTCCCTTCTTGCGAAGGTCGACCTATATGAGCTTAAATTCATACATCAAATGAGCC